ATTGACTGGATGTCGAAATATATTTCTACATTGACTTGATGTTGAAATATAGTTCTACATTGACTAGATGTTGAAATATAGTTCTACATTGACTGTATGTCGAAATATATTTCTACATTGACTTGATGTTAAAATATAGTTCTACATTGACTGGATGTCGAAATATATTTCTACATTGACTTGATGTTGAAATATAGTTCTACATTGACTAGATGTTGAAATATAGTTCTACATTGACTGGATGTCGAAATATATTTCTACATTGACTTGATGTTAAAATATAGTTCTACATTGACTGGATGTCGAAATATATTCCTACATTGACTAGATGTTGAAATATAGTTCTACATTGACTTCATGTCGAAATATATTTCTACATTGACTAGATGTTGAAATATAGTTCTACATTGACTGGATGTCGAAATATATTTCTACATTGACTATATGTTGAAATATAGTTCTACATTGACTAGATGTTGAAATATAGTTCTACATTGACTGGATGTCGAAATATATTTCTACATTGACCATTGACTTGATGTTGAAATATAGTTCTACATTGACTGGATGTCGAAATATATTTCTACATTGACTTGATGTTGAAATATAGTTCTACATTGACTGGATGTCGAAATATATTTCTACATTGACTTGATGTTGAAATATAGTTCTACATTGACTAGATGTTGAAATATACTTCTACATTGACTGGATGTCGAAATATATTTCTACATTGACTTGATGTTGAAATATATTTCTACATTGACTTGATGTTGAAATATATTTCAACATTGACTTGATGTTGAAATATATTTCTACATTGACTAGATGTTGAAATATATTTCTACATTGACTTGATGTTGAAATATAGTTCTACATTGACTTCATGTCGAAATATAGTTCTACATTGACTTCAGTCGAAATATAGTTCTACATTGACTGGATGTCGAAATATATTTCTACATTGACTTCATGTCGAAATATAGTTCTACATTGACTGGATGTCGAAATATATTTCTACATTGACTGGATGTTGAAATATAGTTCTACATTGACTGGATGTCGAAATATATTTCTACATTGACTTGATGTTGAAATATAGTTCTACATTGACTAGATGTTGAAATATACTTCTACATTGACTGGATGTCGAAATATATTTCTACATTGACTTGATGTTGAAATATATTTCTACATTGACTTGATGTTGAAATATATTTCAACATTGACTTGATGTTGAAATATATTTCTACATTGACTAGATGTTGAAATATATTTCTACATTGACTTGATGTTGAAATATAGTTCTACATTGATTTCATGTCGAAATATAGTTCTACATTGACTTCAGTCGAAATATAGTTCTACATTGACTGGATGTCGAAATATATTTCTACATTGACTTGATGTTGAAATATAGTTCTACATTGACTTGATGTCGAAATATATTTCTACATTGACTTGATGTAGAAATATAGTTCTACATTGACTTCATGTCGAAATATAGTTCTACATTGACTTGTAGTCAAAATATAGTTCTAATACGTTGAAAACCCTTTTTGAAATGTTCTTTCCTTTCCACACTCCTGGATCCCCGGGCCCAGTGACGAAGTCCCAACAAAACATTTTTTTTTAAACCATCTAAAAATTCGGACAGACCGTTTGGATCATTTGTTGCTAAATTTTTTGACAATTTATTTAACCGCCTTCAATCCTTGCAGTCTTTGCCTTGAATATTAAATCTCCAAAATGGACTTTATCAGACGACCTTTGGTCGAAAATCGACTGAATTATGGCCGGAGATCGACTTTAAAAACTCTATTTTGACCTTCTTAATAGACTAAAACGCACAGCCCTAGGAAAGAATAAAGATTTTATTCTTGTTCAAAAACCTTTTTTTTCCTAATTTTTTAAGTATTAAAATTATTAAAGGACATTACAATTATTCTCACTTCATAATTATTTATAATTTTCAATTTTTTTTGCCTGCATTTCTTTATATTTTTATATAAACTGCTGGTGTAATGGTAAAAAAGTGAGCTTTTTAATTAATAATACTGGTAAAAAAAAGTTAAAAAACACTTTTCATTTTTAAATTTTTAATATCAGCAGCAAATTCATAAAGAAGATTAATATATTTAAATTCTTAATGTGAAGATTCTTAGTGTGATTGCAGTTAATTACAATCGCACGCAGGTTATTTGGGACAATGGGTGCAAACAAACTGCGAGAATCGCACGTACATCGGCAATTAATTCGAGTGCGTGGGCGCGACACGGCGCGTAATCTGCGCGCATTATTATGAGCAATGATTATTTCGCCTTGCACCCTCGCGCGATAATTATCCGTTCGGCGGCACACGATCGCGTATAAGAGGAGTTTAATTCTTGCCGAGACACTCAAATCTCTTCTCTCGCGCGTTAATAATAATCTCGGCGTGTACGTGTGTCTTGCACCGCTCGAGGATTAATAATTGCCAGTGTAATTACTCATTCATGTGTCGCGCCGCTACTCTCTGTGTTCGCGCGCGCTCGGCACAATGCCTGCACTGCGGCGGATAGACACTTGAATGTTGAGACAAAGTGAGTCAGTCGCTCTCTCTCTCTATACCGTGTGCCTGACGTGATATTTTGTTTAAAATCTTGATTGCAGCAAGACCTCTGTCTCCACTTACCCTCTCAACTCTGTGCACTTCAATGTGGAATAATTATGCAGTTTCATTAGAACTTATACAACGTGAGATAATTATTCTCCAAGCTATAGAATGAAATAATGAAATATTAATTTAAATATGGAACTTTTATATAATTTTACCCTCAAAACTCAGGTGAAGTAATTTAATTTCATACTTATTTATTCTCTATTTGATACACATGTCTGAATTCAAGGTAGAAAAAAAATACATTAAATAAGTACAGAAAAAGGTGGAATACAAAGTTCATCGTATTTTTTTTTCATATCACAACTGATATCAAATAATAATTAATACCAGAAACGTTTTGTGGAATTAGTGAAAAACAGGCATTTTTAAATTTCGAAAAAATCATTAAAAAATTTTCATCTGAAAACCCATGTGGGTTCACGCGGTGGCCGATCTCTTGTTGATGTCGGGCGTTTTAGCAGACCTCTGCTAGTTGTGATACCCTTTCTGCTCATTTTTCCAATTCAATTTTTTCATGTATGACTTAAGTAAAATAAACAACAACATAAGAAAAGTAATCTGTAATAGCTAAGCAGCTATTTAAAAATTTAAAGATTCTATAATAATAATTTTGTAACGCAGTAATAAAAATTATTTAACATTCTTTTTAGGTCCTTTTATGAATATTTCTTTATCTCAAACGTAATTTTGAATTAAATTAAAAACTACCGATTTTGATAACAATTTCATTGCTTTTGTTCTTTATTGTTTCACCACATTAGTGAAGATTTTGATCTGTTTGTGACATTCTCCAAGTGTAAATAAATCCCCAAAGGACAAACCGTTGACAGACCTATCAACTCCACACACGTGAAAGCGGAGCCGACATAATTAATTTAATCCGTTTATTTCTTCGGGCTGTCAGCCATCAACCGGGACAAGCTTTGAGCTCGGCGTGTGTTATTTTTCATTCACGCGCTATATAGCTGCTTGCCTGCTTTTAAAATCTAATTAATCCATTATACGATCTGTCGCACGGGCGTAATTTACAACGTTCCCAAATTCTACTGGAGGTATTAAAAAGTTAATTATTATCCACAGCCTATCTCGCGTTGGCTCGTTTTTATAAAGTTATTCATCACGCGTGTAGCCGCGGGAGAAGAGCACCGAAAACGAGAGCGGTGTTAGCTGGTCGTAAAATGGTCACTACAAGCCATAAAGCAACCATAAACAGAAACCATCTTCCTCCGCGCCATTATTATAACAAACGACTCTGTGGCCACTGCACTACTAAATAAATAAATACCGCGTCCGACTTGGGACAATCGCTGCTTCGGGCCTACCTAGCTGTTTTGCCATTCTATTCTGCTGAAATTTCCTCATAAGTGTTTTTTGAGATTTCAGCTGCCAGGTGGAAATGTCATGTAAAATTGCATGTTTATTAAAGAGGTTTTTAACCAACAGGTATGGTTTTTCAAGAGGAACTCCTAATTGTGAGATATATACTGAGGAAAAAAATTAAGCTGTGATCAATCTGAATTTAAAAAGAGATAAATCTGGACGCTATATATAGAAATTCAAGTATATACACCAGCAAAACATTTATCCAATTTCACTATCAATATAAGAAAAGGAAAAGGATTTTATTTTCGTAGAAAAGTAAAGGTGGCTAATAATTTATGAAACAAAGACAATATACAAGAAAACTTCTTTTGCAATATAATTTTCACCAATCCGTTCATCCGTTGTAATAATCAATAAGATATTTGCAAAACTTTTGGCTGTACATGATAAAAATTTTATTTACGTGAAATTAAATAAAGGCTGATCGTAAGGAGTTAAAATCGGGATGCCCCAACTTCAAAAACATACCTTTTGATTTAGAGGAATTAAAAAAAACTGCTCTTGCTCTTTGGTATTTCTCATTCCCTATTAAAATACTGCCTCATATAAAATACCAATAGAAAATAAGCGGTTATTGTCGATAAAATAGCAGTCGTTATGCAAACTTTACATAAAAATATATACGCTCCCAAGATTGTTATCGCGTCCGTGGCGCGGTAATATAACGCGAGAGATGCTGCTGGTGGGGCTCTCTTTTTCAAATATTTATTTCCCTCCTCTCATTTATTGCTCTTCTGCAGCGCGCATACTTCAAGAGCGGGAATAAATTGTGAGCTGTGTATATGTATGTCCGTCCGCCTTTTATGCCCATCACGCTCTAGCTGAAATATTTGCGCAAAAAATAAGGCTTGAGTTTTATTACCACCGTGTGCTCTGAAGTTTTGCAAAGTTACGTCATTAATCTGTTGCTGCAACTCAATTACATACTAAAAGTTTGTCTGTTTACTTGTTGCAGATAATCCCACCCTGATGCTGAATAACTCATATTTCAACTATTAAGGTAAGGAAGTAGTACTTTTACATTTATACTTGCTGAAAAAAACAATGCTTGGTCCCTCGGTTAAATAATGAATAATTTAAATGAAGTAAAGGCCCGTGTTTTTTAGTCGATCAACTTTTTTTCTGCGTCGCTCAGAACGTTACGGAAATGCATTTTCTGCATGAAAATCGATGAGAATAATGTTTTCATGTAATACAGCTCAAAAAATCCAATTAAAAAAATTGACTAAAACCGCCTATTTAGGCCAAAACCAGCTAAAAAGGCAACTAAATTTCTGAAAAATCAACTAAAAATAGTCGACTTTTTGACCCATAAAAATCGAATAAAATTCACGAGCCTAATGAAGTATTTAAAATTAAGCATTCAATTTTCATCGCTTTTATTAAATTTTAAACTTCTCTTTTCCTAATAATAAGTTTATATAATGTGTTAGTGTGATGTGCATGACAAAAGTTTTTTTCTCGTCCAAAATTTATAATGGAATATTTAATGATTGTGTATATCATAACTCTTGAACAACAATTGAATTATATTTGACCATTGATAACAAAAATTAAATTAATTTATTTGTTCAATCTATTGCACACTAATTTGTTGATTTATTTGCATCTGAGAGTAACAAAATTTTAATTTATTGACCATATATTTATAGAATACTTGTATTTCCATCACGCAAAAGACGCTCACGAACTATTTATTTTTATTTATTCAAGGCTGTGTTAGAAAAAATTGTTAACACGAACGTACAATCTTGTTTTTAATTAAATGCTGCGTTGACGGCAGGCGTCACAGCAGCATGGCAGAGTATTTTAGTGCCACTAAAGGAGCACAAAGAACCTTTTTCGCCCAGAGAGATAAAATCAGCCAAGAAAGAAGAGCAGAAAAAAATTCATTCCGCTTCCTCACCTGACTGAGAGACTGCCGAGTGTTACGTTTCCATTAAACTGGGCTGTCAGCACTGATAAATTTGCATAACGCGAAATTAAAGAGAAGCCGTTGCAAGAACAAGCGAGAGTCATGTTTTGTGTGGATCACGAATCACCGATACACGACGCATTACGCGCACTCGAAAGGAGCCGAAGAAAGAAAGAGAGGGTTGGACGAATAACACGAACGCGGTGTCGAGTAACGCGCTGAGTTGCACACACGCGAGTTTCGAGCGACACACGTGTATCAAGTGTCGCCCTTTTTCACACCTTTGTCATTTTGGCGAATCTTCACGCCCAATCGGGCCCGCGCCTTTTAATTAGAAATTATTATTCCATTTTGAATTAATTTATTTGTCACTTTATCAGGAGTTGAAACGAATCTGATGGGGGAGAGGAGCAAATGTATGCAACCCGCACTACACCTTCGGGAAATGCGCGCTCCATTTTTTACCCCTAATGCCACTTTCATCCCCCTGGGCGTCTGGGACGCTTTAATGCGAATCGTATTGTTCTTCTGCCGCCGCGGCACGTAATCTAATAATGCGAAGATCATAAATCTGGATATTCCCTGTGTGCACTCAGAAATAATGCAGTTTGTTCTTCGATATGGAGACAGATGCGCCAGAAACAAATCCAAACATTGCTATTCCATCTTTAGTTGTGTGCCAACGATTTTTACAAAATAAATCAATGCTTTAAAGAATATCGATGGAAATTTATATTGCATTATTGTAATTGAATGTAATTACAAACACTGTTAAAGTTTTATTAAATAATTTTTGTACCAACCAATCGTGACTATTAGCTGTTGCGCTTCTCAATAGTAAAATTTCATGATCGTATAAGAAGATTGAATTATTTTACAATTTTAATTATAGTTAGTTTTTTATTTTTGTGTCCTTGAGTTTAGAAACTTAAACTTGGTTAAAAAAATTATTTAACAAAATATAAATAATTTTACTAAAATATAGCAGAAATTAACATAAATTAATTTTGAAATGCAAATCAATCGGAGTATATAATTTATAATATATAAAAATAGGCTATTTTTTATTAATTAATACAAGTTTTACATAATGCTATTTTTAAATCACTATAAAATCAAAACAAATCATCTCAAATTCCGAGGGCTTTATGTATAGTGATTCAGTTCAAGAGTGTAACCGCACTATTTCCAAAGCACGTTTGTTATTATTCCATATGTGCTTTGCAGTGCGAAAATACTGCGTGGAATTTCATTTCCTCATTTTCAACTCATTTTCCTCATTTTCAACTTTTACAAGAAATCTCATACTTTTTACATCAAAGGTATGGTGAGAAGGTCCATGGAAAGAATGGGATTAGGCCCTTCATCCAATTTCACGCGAATTTTCTTTCGACACCCCATTTGACTGACAAATGACGAGAGAAGGGACCAAATTTCTCATAGCCAGACAGGCGGATGGATTATTTTATTAAAACGCCGCGCGTCCCGAGAGTGTGCGAATAAGAAAGTCGGAGGGGGATTGAGTTTGGCCTCATCTCTCGCGTAGTCAGCCGGTTGCTCTCGATCATTATTAAATTTGCGCCTTGCACAATATCAAAAGCTAAGCCGCTCACTTTAGGGCTTTGCCCGCCGACCAAACTTTCTTGCAAGTGACCGACCTGCCGGTTCTCTCTCTCTCTCGTCGGCACTTTGCAGGCTTTTGTATGATAATTCTCTCTCTCTCTCGGTTCGTGCGGTCGCGCAGGAACAGCAAACTGGCTCGCCAATAAAGCAGCCGCAGCCAAAGTTTGCCTGCGCTTTGCTGGAATTATAATATCTTGCAAATGCAGACGCGCACCAAAACGTTTACGCAGTGATCATTATGTTGCTAGAGCTGCCAACGTCATTTATTTTAATTTAGAGTAGGTCCAACATGGCTCATAAAATATCAAATGTTTATATCCTTAACATCCAACAATTAAAACCGGAAGGATAATTTCCAACAACCATTTTCCCTTATTTATCCGCAGCTTATACATATTTCAGCATTATTGTTTAAAATGAATTAGTCGAGATGAATAATGAATAATTTTATTTATTTATTGAAAATCGAAACCGTACAAACCTTATAGTAGAGAAAAAAAAATTTAAGATAACTGACCTCAAGAGGTGACTTCTGGTCTGCTGGTTCTTCTATAATAACCTTGCAAACCTGCAGTGTCTGAAAAAAAATGAGAAAAATAAACTTGTATTGGCAAATAGGGTGTCAAATTATAAGATTTACTACATTTAATTTGCTCTAAATTCAGGATTTGGCGGATTTGGCATAAAAATTATTATAATCTGTACGAGCCTAAATGTTACTTTGACGTGAAAATTAGTCATTTTTTACCAATATAATTTGTAAAATATGAAAGTGATCAAGTTGAATGTTGAATATAAATGCGAATAATATGCCCAAGCGTACCATTGTTGGGCTCTATTAGAATAAGTGAGCCGGCCGTCTGAACTTTTAATGACGGTGGCAACGCATTATTTCCCCCACCCTCTCTTAAACTCAATTACCGCACTGGGAGCCAAAAACTTTTTTTTGAGTCCACCAGCATCACTGCTCTTACGAGATGCCCGGCCGCGCACAGCTGTTTAATTGTTTAAATTTTTGCACCAGACCACGCGCCACGAATATTAATCGCGTTTTTGCCGCTCGAAAAATTCAGCAGCAAACGTCAAACGCACGGCCGGGCCGCGTTTAATTTCATTTTGAGCTGTGCGCTGTGCATTCTGATGTAAAAATTTCGCTCTCTCTGTGAACGCGAATTTCATCGTCTCTCTCAGCCATTTCCACTCTCCAGTCTGGACGAATCAATACCGGCTGGAAATCGTCCCATGCTGGTATAACGAGGCTGCTCCGATTTGAAGTTTATTGCACCTCGGAATATTCAAAAATAATCACCTGGCGGCTGAGGCAGCGAGGGCTGCGCCTCCGTTAATTCGTAATTGTTTGTGCACCACGCCCTTGATTGCTTTGTAAATATGGTGAGCGCGTGAAATCACCGCGTCGCTACTCGCAGTCAGCACCTCTAGGAAGCATTGTGTGATGTTTTATTTTAATAATTTTGATTCCTCTTAAGCGCGGAGAAAAAGCAAACAGGTGTGGATTCATCACGCACCTTGACATCAAACATAACGAACGGCCGCCCTATGCTCTTTGTCCTGTGCACTCTGCCGAATTTCTCATCTTTATTAGCTGTCTTTATTTTGTTTATTTTATTCATTTATTACCTTTGGAATATTTCATGAGTGCGATGAACTCTTATGTTTTTTAATTCAACACTTCTGATGGAATGAAATATTTTGTGATTTGGAATTTAGTTTTTGAGCACAAAATATTTTTATATTAAAAAAATTAAGCAAATATTTTAAAGAGTGAATATTCATGATGATATGTTCACGACAAAGCAAAAAAAAAAAAAAACAAGTTTTTAACATTATTATTGTGTTTAGTAATTATTAAGAGGGATGGATATATTAAGTAAAAAAATAAAGGTTTTATAAGAAAGCTGTGAAATTTTCCACCTGCAATTTTCCGGCCGTCCTGTGCTGTGATCTAGCGAACTGGGGAACAACTAAGCGAGCTTGTGCACCGTGTTCCCGGGAGCTCGGCGAGAGGGCTCGCGCTTCTCCTCTCTGGTTAGCGCCACTTCCAAAGCTTGGTTCGCCACAGCACAGATCTCACAATCAGTTTGGTCTCCCATTATTAATATGTAGAAAAATTTGAAATTTAATAGAATGAAAGGAGAATTTTATTAAGCTTTGGATTTTCTAAATTTAAACTCATTTTCAAGTGGTCACTGAACAAATAAAATTTCACAAAAGAAGGAAACGTTATCAAGACTGGCAGGCAATTGCATCAAGCGTGTAAGCTTTTAATTGCCAGACCTCAGGAGCATCGCGCGAAACCAACCCAACTTACTTAACTGTGATGCAGCGCAAACAAGCATTTTAATTAAAGTTGCCGGGGGGCAGACGTAATTAAAGAAATGGCCGGTTGTGGACAAGCGATAAATTTGCATAAAGATAAGCGGCTTAGAATTTAGAGGCGTCGC